GACAAGTATTTTTCCTAGCAGATGAAAGACACTTCCCTTAGAGAAATAACCAGTACATTCACTGCCCCACCCCCCTGCAAGCACATGTGACTTTTCTTTTCTCTTTCCCTGCTACATGCCCATTCCTTACAGACCCGGCTACCTTGTCAAACCTTCCCTTCCCCAGCCACCTCTCAATATGATCACAAGTCACTTCTGTGCTGCCTTGTACCGCACACTGCGACTGGTCTCTCTTGCACCTTAGTTTATCTCTTGTTTAGGAGGAGATAAGTCCAAATCCCATGTTCCAACTTCAGGGAAAAATTTTTGTTTGAGGCAGTACGCAGCTTCTACTAAGTTTTGTGACTTACTGTCTCTGTTTACACTGCTGACACATGTGATAATTCACGGTCTGGACAAGTCTCTTCTAGATCTGATACATGGTGGTGAAGATTTCCTTTACCAAAAGATGATGTTAAGGTAGCCGATGCACTTCTGGGAGAAAGGTGGTACCTGATGAAGGTGATTATAGACAGCACTCAGATTCCGTCTTGTGTGACTCCATGGGTTTCTGACACTGTGTGAAGAGGCCAATCAACTTGAAACCTAGACCCCAACATAGGTTTGAGACCGAAGATACCCTTTCCCAAAAGATGTCGTCAAGGTAGCCAATGTTCTATGTTGTTGTTGTTGTTATGTGCCGTCGAGTCATTTTCGACTCATAGCGACCCAATGTACAACAGCCCTAAACCCTACTCTATCCTGTGTCAATCGCATTTCCTCTGACACACCCATCCCGATTACCCCAGTCACCAATCAATCCATCTCATAGAGAGTCTTCCCCTCCTGTGCTGTCCCTCCACCCTCCCAAGCATGATGTCCCTCTCCAAGGACCCGTCCCTCCTGGCAACATGTCCAAAGTATGTCAGACGAAGCCCCAGAATCCTTGCCTCCAAGGAGTAGCTTGGTTTAATCCTCTCCAAGATGAATCTGTTTGCTTTCCTGGCAGTCCATGGTACATTCAGTACTCTTCTCCAGCACCACAGCTCAAAGGCATCCACTCTCCTTCTGTCCTCCCTAGTCATTGTCCAACTCTCTGATGCATTACAAGCGATTGCAAAGACCATGGCCTGTATCAGGTGCACCTTAGTCTCCAGAGAGACACCGTTGCTCTTGAGTACTTTAGAGAGGTCCCTAACAGCAGACTTTCCCATCGTGATACGCTTTTTGATTTCCTGACGCCAATGTGGTATAAATACTGTTAATTAATTGAACTTATTTTATTAGTATTTTGAATTGCTCTTGTTGTTGTGTACCACTGAGTCAGAACTGACCCAAAGCTGACCCTCCAGTGGTTTTTCGGAGGTTTTAATCGCATGGGGAAAGACCATCCTTTTCCTGTGGAGTAGCTGGTAGATTCGAATTGCAGGTCTTGGGAATTGCAGTGTAGCTTCTTGCCATTAGGCCACGAGTGCTCTCTATTTAATTAAGTAATTTCATACCTTTATTTTATTATTGATCCAAGCATCTCTTGTATATTAATAGACCATCCATCATTAGAAAGTGATCAAGACTTTGCTAAATAATCCACAGCCTGGATGAATCCAGAGCATATCATGCTGAATGACCTAAGTCAATCACAACAAGACAATCATAGTCTAAAACCACTGATATAAAAAACTAAAGAAATCTTTATACACAGATAGAGATATAACATGATAAGATTAAAAGGCGAAGGGAGTAAATATTAGTAAATAGATTAATTTGGGGGATTAATAACATGGCAACACTCAGTGAGAGGTTGGTAAAAACAAACAAACAAAAAACAAACAACACAAACCAAAATCCAGGCCACATAGACATGAACAATAGTAGGATGACCTTTGACTTCCTCTCAGTAATATAAAAGCATTTGGAAGCAGGCGTGGCATCCACTTCCTAAACAACATGCCTCCTGAAACTATGAATTTTGATAAATGTCAATAGTAGTAGAGGGGCTTCAGGCCTTTTGTTCACAGGGTTGTTATAAGTCATGCTTGACTTGAAGGCAATCAACAACAACAATATAAAAGCATAGCTTATTTATACTCCCCCATATAAAATCATCCATTTATGAGGCTAGAGCATATTTTAAATAATGATTTCTTCCTTTTATTTGTAATTTCCATTCTTGATCATAGACTACCACCTGAAATTACTTATGTTGGGCCCAATTTTTATGTAACTTTGTAGTTCTCACATATAAAAGGGATTCAGCTGGAAAATTTTTGCAATAATCCTTAGATTTCCCTTAGGGGAAAATAAGGTGGTTTGACCAAATTGGTGGCAGTAGAGATGTAAAAAGTCAAATTCTAAAGGATTTGGATATATCCTGAAGAAGTAACAAAATTATATGTTGAAAGAGTATGAAGGGGGGCGGGAATCAATGATACAAAATTGTGGACATGTTGTTATTGCTAATGTAACATCGAGTTGGAACCAACTCCTAGCTGACCCTGCACTTGGTTTTCAGGGGCTTTAAGTTACCTGGGAAGAGGCTGTCCCTTTTTCTCCTATGGAGCAACTGCTTGATTGGAAACTTGTGTCTTGACATTAAGCCAACATGGCTTTCCTTTGCACTTAAGAAATGGATATTGCTTGAGTTAAGGAAAGACGAGGCAGGAGAGGTTGGAGAAAACCTAAGAAGTTTGATTTTGTCACGTTAAGCTAGAGACGTCAAGTTGGGCATATATATTGATCTGACACTCAGCAAAGAGGTCTGTATATTTAGTCGTCAGTAGGAGAGAAGTGACAGAATGACTATGAGTCTGAACCAACTCAACAGAACACACACAATTGCAAGAAAAAGAGCAAGAGGGTCCTCACGTACTTATTATTATGTTTTAGTGTCCTAACATTTTGCCACAAAATGTCACAAACTGAGTTGTTTTCATACAACAGAAATGTGTTACCTCACATTACTAAGAGCTGGAATTCTGAATTTGAATTGCCGGTAAGATCATGCTCTCTTTGAAGGCTCTGAGATCTTGCATCTTCCTAGCTTCTCTGTCTCTATCTTCCTAGTTTTTGCCTCTGTCTTTACTTGGCCATTCCCCAGCCCCCACCCTGTGTTTCTTCTCTGTATTGTAAGATATTTCCTCTCATGGGATTTACTGCCTCTGCAAGGTTGCTGGAGGGTCAGCTATGCCTTGGTTCCAACCCGATGATACAGAAGAACAACCTAGAACTCTGCGTGGAGTTCTCCTGGCATACAGGGTTGCTAGCTGCGACTCCTATCCTGAAGGTTAGAAGTACAAAGTCACCAGGCATTCTTTCTCTGAGAGAGAAAGGTGAGGAAACTCCGCCCACATGGAAAACTTGGAAACCCAATGAAGGGCCACCATGACTCAAAATCATCTGGATAGCAATGGGTACAGAGCCCAGTACAAATCTTGGTGGCATGTAATAAGCATTGTTAACCGAAAGGGTTGATGGCCGATATCCACCAGCTATTCTTAGTGGGAAGTGACTCAACAGCAATGGCTTATAAAAGCCCTGTTCCAAAATACACTAATACAATCTATATTACAAATAAATGCAGATTTTATAAAACAAAATTAAACAAATTTATTTCCCACAGGATGTGCAGGGAGAAGGGAGATTAATCATGGGGTTGTACAATTTGATGGGGATGGGGTGAGGGAAATTGAAAGAAGTTTTTTCTTAAAAACAATGTATTCAGATTTTGTAAATTGGTAGAAAATTTTAAAAAAAGAAACAAAAAGCCCCCCAAAAAACTGCTCTAACATGCTTTATGATTTTCAAGGGGAAGATATTAAATATGTGATTCCAAACATATGACTTGATTGTTGTTTTGTTTGTTTTTTTGTTTTCTCAGTAACTCGTAACTGTTTCCAAATAGTTCACCTTTGAAGAGTTTAGGAAGCACTGTTCTAATGTCTGGAGGAGACTCTCAAAGATGCATGATGCTTTTCAAAGTCGGCAGAAGACCAGAAAGTTCCCCATCACCACTCCCCAGTCGGACTAACAAATATCCCTAACTGAGAGTCTTAATTAATTTATACATATTCAAACTGAATACAATGACTTTCCTTTAAAAACAATCACGTCATTTGCGGTGGGGAGAAAAAAAAATTATATCATTGGATTTTAAAATATTAACAAAGTTATTAAATAATTCATATTGCAAGTGAGTTCTCAACCCCCTAGTTGCTCCAGCAGTGAGCTGGAATTAGTTATTTTCTGGACTATTACAATGAAATCAAAAGATTGATCTTAATCAAATGTCAGTCCACAAAGAAAAGCATGAAATTCTAAATCAATAATAATTTATTCTTATTTGTGAATCTTACAGAGACATTCTGTTCTAAGTACAAGAATTGGATGAAAGGTTGGGGCTTTGTTGTGACTGAATATTGCTTCCATCAATTTTCTTTGTACAGTTTACCCAACACATAAGTCATAAAATCACTGACACACACTGAAAAGTTTTAAAACATATACTTAGTTGTCTTTAACAGTTTTTTTTCCAGGATTCTCACTGAATGAAGTAAACACAAAATGATTGCTTTTAGTTGAAACACAAGCCTTTCAATAGAATCAGAAACTTCTGAGACATGTTGGTGCATTATGGTGTACAATTCACAGCCTCATACAGAAAAGAAAATAACCTATTTTTAAAAGTCACAGACAGAACTTAGTAAAAATATAGTCATTATCTACAGATCTCATTCATATTTTTATGTGCTCTGAATTATTGAAATGCCATGATAATACTAAATGAAAAAAATCTACCTACAAAACTAATAGATAAGTGTTTTAAAATAATTTTTTTTAATTTCCAAAACTTGAATTGTGAATTAAAATGTACTCTGGTGATAAGACTTAGAATTTTTATGTGTTACTTTGATAATTATTAAAAAGTGAGATGTTTGTTTGTTTGTTTGTTTGTTTGTTTTAAAGAATCTTCTGCTGCCTGACTCATCCCCCTAAACCCAAACTTCAGTGTCCAGGACACAAGCTTATGGTGAAATCCCAGGAGGTTCCTCTGGGTACAAAAGGAAGCCAGTAAAAATACTGTCATCTTCAGCACTGACATACACCCCATTCCAGTCTTTTGAGACTTCCAGCCATACTTGATCCCCTGCACTTAATTTCAGGACCACAAGGAGGGAGGTTTGGTCAATCTCTTGACCATAGAGTGTTTCTCTGGACTTGAACTGCTTCTTATTCTGCGCCACCAGGCTGATCCTGGCAGGGCGGCCCCTCACTGTGATGTGATAGGAAAACACGTATGTCCCGGGAACACTACAGTTAAATTTTCCGGTGATGGGACTATAGTTTCCTTGGTCATTATAGAGAACCTTGTCAAATTTAATCGGGACGTTGGGAGGAGGGAAGGGCCTTGACAAGGCGGCACTGAAAGCCGACCGAGAGATTCCAGCCACCTCACCTTTGGAGCCCTTGAGACCCCGGGACCCCTTCTTCCCGATAGACCCTCGCACTCCTTTGTTTCCAAGCTCACCTTTAGGCCCAATAGGTCCTTCGAGACCAGGAGGACCCAGTTCCCCCTTTGCTCCTTTGACACCTGCGTCACCTTTGGCCCCAGGCAGGCCATCTGGGCCACTTTTGCCTTCTATGCCCATCTCTCCTTTGCAGCCTTTCTCTCCTTTCATGCCCTCCTCGCCTTTCTGTCCTTTTCCTCCTCTCTCCCCAAACTCTCTGCAGTCTCCCTTTTCCCCCATCTCGCCTTTCTCACCCTTGGCCCCAGTCTCTCCACGTAACCCCTCCAGTCCTCTCTCTCCTTTCTCTCCTTTAGTCCCATTTGCACACACATCCCCCTTGGACCCTTTTTGTCCTTTAATTCCTGCCGGTCCAATGCTTCCTTTATCCCCTTTAGAGCCAAGTCCACCTGAAACAGAAATTTAAAATGATTTTTAAGGAACACACAAGATAAACACAGTATTCTATTGCCACTTAAAAACAAATTAAGAAAAATGAAACAAACTCTTCTACCTGGGACCTGAGATTTGCTTCCATGACCATTGTTGTTGCTGTTGTTTAATGCCGTCGAGTCGTAGATGACTCATAGCGACCCTATGAACGAACAGCCTGAGCACTGTTCGTACATAGAGTTTCCAGAGGCAAGCCATTTCGGAAGTGGATGCCGCTCCTGCTTCCAGGCTCCATGACCATTAGAGGTAAGAAAATTCTAAGGAGTACAATTCCTCTCAAGTAACTCATGAGGCCATCAGAGTTGTTTAGGGAGGTCTTTCAGTGGACAAAGTCTATTTTACTGTTTTATAGAAAGTCAAGTTAATGCTATAGAGAATAAATAACTCATTTAGACTTATCTCCTCCTGTGAGGTTTACTGCCTCTGAAAACCTGCAGAAGGATCAGTTATGGGTAGGTTCGGACTCAACACACTAACCATAATCTGTCTAGTTCTTGGTTGTTCTGGTGGCCTGGTGGGTAATAAGCTGTGCTGTCAACTGAAAGATTGTTTGAATCTACCGGGTGTTCTGTGAGATAAAGATGGGCAGTCTTCTCCCGAAACCCTTTAGAAGTGGTTCCAACTTGATGGCAGTGAGTTTTGAGTTATGTCTAGTTCTAGGAGTTCTGCTTATATAGTGTGTTACTTGTTGAAATGTTAACCTAAAGGCCAGTAGTTTGTATCCAACAGCTGCTCTGGAAACAAAAGAGGGACACTCTCATGAAGAATTACAGCTTTAAAAAAAATAGTTGCAGCTTCAGAAATCCCTAGGATTTTTACTATGAGTCAGAGCAACTTGACAACAGTAGGTAGTATACATATTTCTATTGTTCCACTTTTAAGAGGTTAAAGAACATGGAATTATAGTTGCTCATTGTATTTCTTTTTTGCCAATTGACCAAAGTAGACCCAGCAGGTAGTCTGAATATTGTCCATCCAAATCTGAAATTTTACAGGCAAAAAACCTCTGAGACCTGGAAAGATTCAGGGAATTTCTTCCCAAAGGACAATTTGAAGAATTAAGTTCTTATGTCTGGTCTCCAAAAGCAAGACCAATCATGTTTACATTAAATTTGGTCAACACACTGACTTAGTACAATAATAATCACTCACTCATTTGCTTTGGAAGTACGAGTAGTATCCTCTTCCTAAACCATATGCCTATGGAAACTCTATGAACTTGGAGTAACAAGGAGAGTTATGGAAAGGCATTAAGTCTTTTGTTCATAGAGTTCTATGAGTTATGCTCAACTTGATGGCTATCAACAACAACAACATTGCCATCAAGTCAGAGCCAAGCAAGACAGAGCTGACCCTCCCCTGGGTTATTTGAGGCTGTAGATCGCATGGGAGGAGACTGTCTTTCTTTCCTCCATGGAGAAGCAGGTGGATTTAAACCACCCGCCTTTGGGTTATCAGGACAACTCCTTACCCGCTAGGCCACTGGAGTCCTCGAATAATAATACTAATTTTTATTTTCACTTTGCCCCATGATAAGTTTAAACACAAGCAAGAAGAAAAATAACTGTCAGAGTGCACACACAATTATACCCAGTCGATGTATTTTACATACTTTACCTTGTGCCCCGGGCTTCCCTGGATAGCCTGGAGCCCCATCTGTTCCTTGATCCCCACGTTCTCCTTTCAGTCCTAAAAAGACACTAAGATGAGCTTTCATTTTCCAGCTATGTTATTTAAGGTATACCTGCTTTACACTGTATGCAAACAGTTCACACAGTTGGACTCTGTGAAGAAGAGTGTGACATCAGAATCGGAGGAAGCCTCATCAACAATCTGCATTATACTGATAACACAACTTTGTTTGCTGAAAGTGAGGAGGATATTAAATGCTTGCTGCAGAAGATCAAGTACTACAGTCTTCAGTATTGATTACATCTCAGCATTAAGGAGACAGATATTCTCACCACAAGCACAACAGTCAATGTTATGATAGATGGAGAAAAGATTGAGGTTGTCAATTATTTCATCTTGCTTGGATTCACAATCATCACCCTTGGTACCAGCAGTCAGAAAATCAGACAATGTATCACATTGGCCAATTCTGCTGTCAGGGACCTCTCCAAAATATTGAAGAGCAATGTCAGTTTGACAACTAAAGCGTGCCTGAATTAGGTCATAGTCTTCTCAGTCACCTGCTATACATCAGACAGCTGGACAATAAATAAGGGTAACAGGAGAAGAATTGATGCCTTTGAGTTGTGGTGTGGGAGAAGAGTGCTGGACGTATCATGGACTGTTAAAAGAACAAACATAGATCCTGGCCAGAGTACTTCGTGGGGGCAAAGATGATGAAGCTTCAGCTTTCATATACTTGTACATGTAGCTAGGCAAGACTATTCCTCAGAAAAGAGTATCAAATGGTCCTTGAGAGCTTGATTGGAGATTCTCACAGGGGAGTGCAGCTGCTCATATGTCCTTGACTGAAGGACGGTCTTCCCTCTATCAGGGATGGCTGTCTTCCTCAGCTGAGCATGCAACTTTGGGAGGGATGCACAGGGATTGGTGAGGAAGGAAGGGGGCGCCCACCTAGCCAGCCGTATCAGCCTAATCAACCCTGATGATTAATATGCTGCCGCAAATGACAGCAAAATGTGTTTCTAAGCACGGTGTGTCAATTTAAAAGTGTGTGGCAACCTGTTAATGAGATGATAGATGTCACAGCCAGATGACCCTCAAATGAATGGATAGAGAAACTGTGGTATATTCACACATTGAAATATTAGGCAACACTAAAAAAACAAGGACCTCATAAAATATTATACACCCTGAAAGACATTATGCTGAGTGAAATATCTCGATTACAAAAGGACAAATACTGCATAATGTCGCTGTTATAAAGCAGGACTGGCATGGAGGTTTGGAGGAAACTAGGAAAACGGGATAAATAATGAACACTGCATTGAAACAGATGCAGGAAAGAACTGTTTAGCAGGAATATATTATTTGTATGACAGTAGTCCAGAATAAGAGGTGCATAGCAAAGTGGACTGGGGGGGGGGGGAGGGGGGGGGGGGGGGGGGGAAGGATGAGGAGAGCGAGGAAATTGTGCAACAATGAAAGAATCTTTTTAAAGAGGAAAGCGGACTACGGTGGGGGTAGGGAGGAAAATGTGCAACAAAGAATGAATGAAAATCCAAGTTTTCTGTAAACTTTCATTAAAATATCAATTTTTAAAAAGAGGGGGGAAAAGAAAAAATCTAAAAAAAAAATTCTAGCATATATTGTAAGCAGAAGTGGCATCTATTTCCTAAACAACATGCTTCTGGAAACTCTATGGTCTTTAATAAGTGACAATAGTTACAAAAAGGCTTCAGACCTTTTGTTCATAGGGTCACTGTACGTCGTGCTCGGCAATCAGCAACAACGTACCAAAAAGAAGCATCATGATAAAAAAGAACAAATTGAAGTGGTAAAGCATTTTATTTTACTTGAAACCAGACTAAATATGTGTGGAAGAAGTAGAAACAGATTGCATTGTATTGTATTAGAATATATAGAAATATATTCTTGTTCTTAGAAACATATTCTTCAAGTTGATAGTAATTTCACAGAGATTTGAGGGCAGTACTAATCCCTTCAGTCAATACAACACAATACAATACAATACAATACAAAAAAAATTGTATAGCATCCTATTGTAACGTATTGTATCATATCATATCATATCGTATCGTATCGTATCATATCAGGAAATTTTGCTGCAAAAGTGTTCTAAGGCAAAGATGTCACTCTGAGAACTAACGTGCTTTTGACTTAAGTCATGACATTTCAAATTACCTCATATATATGTAATATCTTCTTGTTGTTGTTAGGTTTCATCAAGTCAATTATGACTCATAATGTAGACAATGAATAAAATAAGATCAAATAGAATTATACCTTTGAATTATGACATCAGTTGAAATTGAGAATGACAAGGTTTAAAGGGAAAAAAATAAAAAGGAGGGGGTATCATTCTAGGAAAGATGGTGGGTCAGCGGAGAGGGAGACGCCATACTAGGTGGATTGACACTATGGCTTTCCAATGGGCTCTAGTATATCAGAGGTCATGGGTATGGCACATAACAGGGCAGATTTCAGGTTGGCTCTTCATAGGGTCCCTACGAGGAAAACTCAACTCAACAGCATCTAACAACAACAATACCCATTTAACAATCAAGTCACATTCAAATATTTTCTTTATCAAAAAGATCTAAAGGAGTGAATAGAGTTATTATGTCCCATTGAGTCATAAATGACTCCTAGTTGACTCTACAGTTGTCTTGGGTACTATAAGTCACACAGGAGGAGACTGCCTGCTGTTTCCTATGGAGCAGTAGATGAATTCGAGCTGGTTGTATTTATATTGGAATCACAATTACCACTTGGCCAACAGAGGTCTCTTTTATATTGAGAGCCCTTAGAAATATATTCTTCAAGGTGATAGTAGTTTCATAGACATTTGAGGTCAGTACTAATCCCTTCAGCCAATATTTGATGTTTCCCTTCATACTCCCTAGACTCTCCAAATTCTCATTACTTCACCCTGACTTCTATTAAATATATATGTGCATATATATGCACATTTTCCATGATTGATTTTAAATGACAGTTCAAATGTTTTCTTCTGCACATGCTCCATGATACTGAAGAAAGTGTGTTCTGTGCCTCATAACTTTGAACACAGAGCCCATATAATTGACTAGGACTCATTACAACAAAAAGTTCATGCAGAGAAACAACTATCTTTGACAAAGGAAAGGCCAATTTGTATCTGAATTGGAATATTTGCCACATACTTATTGGAGAAATTATAAAATTGTGAAGATGTGTATTTGTAGAAAATTGAAAGAGTGGGACTTTTAGATATATGACATCTCACTATATTACAAGACTAGCCAAAATCTCATCTTACTACTGTGCAAAAATACCATATTAGGTATAAGTATTATAATAATAATAGTTAACTCTTTTTGACAATTTACTTCAGACTAGATATTTTTCAAAGCCCTCCTCAAAAACATATGATGCTTTTGTTTAATTCTAATGTAGTTTTCATTTGGTAGAGGAACCTATACAACAGAACACATTCCATCAACTGAAATATCTTTCATTTATAAAAGTTTGTGGAGCCTCCTAAAAAAATTAGTGGTTCAAAATCAGGAAAGCAGTGCAGCAGGGATGTATCCTATCTCCATATCTTTTCAATCTGTATGCAGAACAGATCATTCAGGAAGTAGGACCTTATAAGGAAGGATGTGGCATCAAGATTGGAGGAAGACTCATCAGCAACCTATGATATGCAGATGACACAACATGCTTGCTGAAACTGAAGAAGACCTGAAACACTTGCTGCAGAAGGTCAAAGACTAGAGTCTTCAATATAAATCGAAACTGAATATCAAGAAGACAAAGATTCTCACCACTGGGCCAATTGGCAGCATCATGATAGATGGAGAAGGAATTGAGGTTATTAACAACAACAGCTTGCTCAGCTCCATAGTCAACACTCTTAACACCAGCAGTTAGAAAATAAAAAGATGAATTGCGCTGGGAAAATCTGCTGTCAAGGACCTCTCCAGAGTGCTCAAAAGCAACGATGTCAGTCTAGAGACTAAAGTGTGCCTAATCCAGGCCATGGTCTTGACAATTACTTATGCTCCAGAGAGCTGGGTAATGATTAAGGATGACAGAAAAATATTTGATGCCTTCAAGGTGCTGAAAGAGAGTTTTGAACATACACCCTGGACTTCCAAGAAAACAAACAGGTCTGCCTTGGAGAGGGTAAAACAAAATTTCTTCTTGGAGGCTAGGATTTTGAAGCTCTGTTTCATATACTTTGGGCAAATGACCACAAGAGGCGGGTCCTTGGGAAAGGACATCATGCTCAGAAGGGTGGAAGGACAGCGCAGCAGCAGATGACTCTGATTGAGATGAATTGATACTACGGCAAAAGGAGTTAGTGTGTCAAAATTAGCAATACTGGCTCAGGATAGGGCAGGGTTCAGAGCTGCTGTACAGAGGGTCACCATGCCCGCAGGTAAACTGATGGCACATAACAGTAGCAATATAAATTTGAACTTGTACAAAATCAATTGGATTATATTCAGTATTAGTGAACAATGTTTTCTCAACTATGTTATCATTTATCTAAGTTTTTTCTAATTTGTTGTAGGTTAAAAGAAATTTTGCAGCAATTTAGAAATTATGAGAAATTTAATTATGAGGAATATTAGAAATTATAGAAAGATCACCTTGAAAAATGCTACCATTAACCAGTCAGGAGATTTTTCCAAATTTATTACTACTCCACAAAAATATATCTAAATTTGGAAATATTTGTACACTTTTTTAAAGAACACAGCCCCAAACAGAATTGAAAAAAAAAACACACCCAATTGTATTACCCTGTTTTGTATTGACTGGACAACTATGCTTCGCTTTTAACGAATTCTGGTGGCCTAGTGGATAGGGAGTTGTGCTGCTAACCCAAAGGCAGACAGTTAGAATCCATCAGCTGCTGGTGAGAAAGACAAGAAGTCTCCTCTTTTGTGATTTACAGCCTCTGAACACTTACTAAAGAGTCAGCTATAAGTCAATGCCATCTTGATACCTGTGAGCTAGCTTTGTTTGGTTTTTTTTCGATGGTGTTTTAGGAGGTTGAATTTTTTTTTCCCTAGATTTGTTTTGTTTGGCTTTCCAAATCTTTAAGGCACAGAATATTCTGGTTCTCAAACTGATTTAAGAAGTTTAGCTATTTTACACTGCCTTTACTCTTTCCAGGTAGTGATTAACCAAATTCCAATGATTACTTGCAATGTGCTTTTTTTTTTTAAATTTTACTGTTAGATCTCAGCCAAGAGTCCAAGTGAAGTCTGACTGCAAGTAAAAAGAAAGTCGAGTTGCTACTTGATAGAGACTGCCTGAATGAATTTCTACTTTTGATCCTTCATCAAAGCATATTCTTAAGAACCTCATCTTACGTATGATACCTCTCTGTTTTTTCTTCTACTTCCAGAAGTCTAGCTTCCACAATGTATGAATCACGAGGGAGGCTCATCACTCATCTTTATTTCACAGAATTTTCTGCTAACGTAATTCCGCCACAAAAGGATTAAATGTTTCTGAGAATGAAAATCGCATAACTGACAAGTGTGAAGTAACTCTCTCTTACCTTAACATCTTTCTTGAGTAATTACTTCACTGAATGTTCTACCAGAAACGAGTTAGGCAGTTCCTGAGCCGTGTGAAGAGTGATGTATAGATGATAGTAGGTCTTTGACGTGTGACACTGAGGCTAAAGCATTTATCTTGATGGATAGATGGCATTTCTACAGGCTAGTAGTACTCACTAAGGAATTTCAAAACGTCCCAGGGAATCTGTAACCTTTCTTCAATGCCGTTAAGCACTTACAGAATCAGGGATTTCCCAGGGCAGGAAGCCTTCTTTATTTAGTCAGAGAATATCTGAGCTGGAAAGCTGCTATTGAAAGTATTCATGACTACACATTTACTTTGCTAGCAAAAGAGGATATATAAAATTCAGCTCTCTTCTCACCTTTGCCACTCTTTCTAGTTTCAGAAGGAGCAAAATAATTTGTCGTATTCTCTTTAACAGATAGGCTCCCCACTGAAATGGAATATTCTGTAGTACGGCCTACCCTCCTTAAGTCTATCTGAGAGGAAACTAACGTAGATGGTGAAGAGCTGTTGGAAGAGTCTATAAGAAGATGACTGCGACGTCAAGTGATGATTGGTCCATCAGGTGGCAGGTAAGAGATGAACAAGTTGCAAGTTGCATGCAATTCTGTGTGTGTTTGTGGGCTATGATGCTCCCCAGAGAGCTTAAAAATCTCTCAATTGATTATCTACTAGGTTAATACATTTTTAACACAAAATCTGACAATGACAATATGCTTTATTGATTTTTTTCTTACATTTAAACAGTTAATCTACTTCTGAGAAGTCATTATTCTGTTAGAAAGTCATTATTTGGAAGAGTTATCCAGAATCTTTCCTGAGCTTTTTATATGAAAGTAAGTAATAACCTACCCTTCTCTCCTTTCTGGCCTTTTAGGCCTTGAGGTCCAATAACTCCTGGTGGTCCTGGAATCCCCATCTCACCCGTCTCTCCTTTAGGACCTGAAAAAGGAATATAAAAATCATCAGGGTGGAAAAATACTCTTTTAAAATCTGTTTGGTCAGTAGGAGAACAACAACAAAACCCAGTCATTTTATTAAGACCAACGACTGCCAGTGTCCTGATGATGAAATCTCTGTGGGAATAGACTATTACAGAGCTCCAAGAACAATATTTTTGTCTGATTTGCAATTTTGTACTACCTGAATAGATAAATTGAACCCATTAATACTTGTCATTGGTTTCATGGCAATGATCAAAGTATTCAGGGAAGCAACACTGTATCAAACCACAAGAATGAAATAATTATGTCTCACTTAGCCTATGTGGACCACTCTGTCCAATTGAAAGCAAAAACATCTAAGTTAGGTGTTTTTTGGTTTGTTTGTTTGTTTGTTTCCCAGCCACTCATCTATTGATTAATTGACTCAAGAACTTTTGCTGAGACGCCCAACACCTCTTGGTGTCTTCGGAGTACAGCTATTAAAATTTTCAACAGTTCATACCCTCGTGGAGGAAAGGGTTCATTAATGTTAACATAAAATAACTAACTAGCCACACAGACCACATAGATAAATAGAGATGGTCATGCTGTGCTGAGTGATAGAAAAGGTGGCAAAGTTCTCTGGTAGACTGTGGTTAAAAGAACCTAGTTTATCTGTAGGAATCAGAGGAGACATTAAGAAAATTAATTAAGAAATTAATTAACAAAATTAAGAAATTAAATAATGGCATTAAGAAAAGACTTGCAGGAGAAACTAGAAATTGCTGAGGCAAAAACTCAACAGTCAAGTTATTTTGGGAAAAGCAAGAAAGTAAAAGACTGTAGAGTCTTTAAGAAACAAAAGGAAGAGCACAATGGCTAAAACCAGTGGGCAAGGCTGAGGCTCTCATGGAGTATACTCACTCCTGGTTTTGCTCACCTCATTGGGGTACATACAGGAGCCCCCAAACTGGAGTAAAATTATTCCTTCCTGCAACTCCACCCAGTTCATTTCTGTTCTCAACCCTCGCAGCAATGTCTGGCTGGAACAACTCATATCCAGATTCTTTGAAAGTTACCCATCTAGGCAATTGCATTCAATGAAATGATAATATTTCCTTTTAGCATCCTGCTAATTAGGGAGTTCTGGTAGCTTAGTAGTAAGGTATTATGCTCCTAACACAAACACATGTAGTTCAAATCCACCAGAAGCTCTGCAAGAAGAAATGTGGGTCATTTCCTTCTGTGTGATTTACTCCTACTGAAAACTTGCTGGAGGGTCACCTGTGAGTGAGATCTGAATCAATGGTACATAACAGCATCAACAATCATCATAATCAAAGTTGATAGAATGAGGGGAAAATTTATACTCCACAGAAGTCCTCTTTGGAAGTACACTGTATTTATTAGGAACAAAACTGCTCGTGTTGGAGGCTAAACCATAAAGCAGCCTCCAATAGCTAGATACAATTACTAAACTCTTAGGTCAGAAACAGAAAGCTGGAAGGAAGGCAGACATAGAGAAAGAAAACAGACTCTTGCAAGTAAGATAAGATGGCCACTTGTATTTCACTAAGTAATGTTTTCCTTCTTCACTGCCCCTCAATGTTACACAGAGCATTATTTGGTGTGATATTTGAAGAAAAAGATGAGTACCTAGAGATGTACACCTGGATTGCTGTTATCATTTAGATTTGTGCGAATGTCCAAAACTTGAACATGATGTGAAGAGAGGGGCCTTGAAGGACTCGAAGGCATATGATGTTTGACAGCAGGTTCTATATTTACAGGTAATGTAACCTCTAGAATTATTTAAACTCTCTCAAAGTCAAACCATAAGAAGTACTCAGAAATAAAATATTAGTATATGGCAAGAAGTTGGACTGCAATTCCAAAGACACACAGTTCGAATCTACTAGTTGCTCCACAGGAGAAGGATGGTCAACCTCCTCTCATAAAATTTACTGCCTCTGAAAACCCACTGAAGGGTCAGCTGTGAGTTCATTCCAACTCGACAACACACAACAACTTATAGAAGCATAATACATATTAAATATAATATTT